GCGTTGGCTAAGCTCGAACGGGAGCTGTGCGGCCTGCGGACGGAATGGTGAGCAGCGACACGCGGAGCAGCTGGAACCGTGAAGGTCGTGAGCTGCTAGTCGCGACAAGGTCGCCAGAAAATGGGGCTGAGCAGTGGTGGTTGTTTCGGGCTCGCGGTGGCTGGTAGCTGTGGAGAGGAGGACGTCGGAGCTGCTGAGGACGGAGGCGCGTGCTGTGGCCACCTGGTGGTGAGCATCTTGGTCACGACGGCGGTGGCTGCTGGTGGCGGAGCTGCGAGCTCAAGGATGGCGAGCTGCTGCGGATTCGCCGAAGATGGTTCTTGTCGGCGGGGCTGAGCTCGAGAGGCATCGGTGAGGGGTGGCGCTCATCGTGGAGGAGCTGGGCTGAGGAAGGCTTAGGGAAGCTGTGGAGATGAGCTCACCGGGAGGAGGTCTGCGGGCGAGCTTGGGCTGATCTGCGAAGCTGCGATTCTCTCTCTCCGATTTCCTTTCTGCGATTTGTTCTTTTTTTTTTTTGTTTAATGAGTGGCTATCTGATTGGAAAGTAAATTTGAGCTGAAAGTTCCCTATTTCTGCCTCCTTATCCAATGCCAAAGAGAAAAATGAAGACATAAGCTATACATCTATATGTTAGCTGAGAGAGGATTAGGGTTTTGACACATTTTTGGGATCAAAATTTGGGCTTACCATTGGGCTAGAATGCTTGGACTATAATCGGGCTTGTAAAATTAAATTTGACTTTAGCCTAACAATTAACGGCTCGATAAATAAAATAATTGGGCCGGATGGCGGAAATAAAAATGGCTCGCTTAAATGGGCCCGAAAAATAATACTATAGCTCAAATTAATTTATCTCGACTATAATGGGCCGAATTAAAATGGCTCGAATAATTGGGCCTAGATGGGCTCGAAAATAAATAATTGAGCTTAGGAATTGTGCCATAAATCGCTACATAATCGGGCTAGTAAAAATCCTAACACTCGGGCTCGATTAATTCGGATAGTGACTAGGAAATTAAATATTCGGTCTATAAATAAAATATGACGGCTTGTAGTAATAATTTCGACTTGGGCTGAAATTAAATATTGGCTCGATTAAAACACTACGAGGGCTCGATATTTAAAATATCGCTTGGGCTTGGAAATTAATTCGACTACTCGAATTAAAAATGGGCCGACTAATAAATTGAATTCGCTCAAAATCCATTGGGCTCGAATAATTAAATTATTCGGCTTCGTTTTGCTTAAATAAAATTCTGATTAAGTCCAAGGCTCGGTGTTATAAATATAACCGATACTTGGACTAGATAAATCCGACTGTAATAATTAAAATTAAATAAATTCTCCATGGCTTAGATTTTAATATTTAATTATTCAATCTAATGCAATGAATATAATAAATGCATCAAATTAAGAAACTAGCTATTTATGGAAATAAAGTCGAGCTCCATAAATAGTAACTAATATTCTGGGCGTTACAACTTAAGCTTTTCCTCCGGTAGCTAATCGTGCCAGCAGTTCTGAACGAGCTCCCCTTATCTTTACTGCCCAGAGTTCACACCTCAAGGTTTAGGCAAGAGGCTTCTTTCATCAAAATGACCTCGATCACATCTTCGGGTATTTCCGCTACGTCTCGGCGTTCATAGAGATAGACTATGACGTTGTTTCATGATTACAATCTGACATTTCGTTGCAGTCTCCATTGCATTACTTAGCACGAAAGAATCATTATTCGACTGCTTATATTCTTATCGGGTTCTAGAGCCTGTTTTGATACGTCGACTCCTCGATCTTCTGTGGTATATTGGGTCTTAGATCGGTCTTCAATGATTTTGCAGTTGTCTTCAGTTGATTGAACATGTCTTCACCTCATGATAATAGTTGATCATCCTTCCTTATCCATCGGTTAGTTCACGGTTGTCGATGTGAAACATTCTTTTCCCCGAATAGATCGGCTCCTCCGGTGTCCGGGTTGGTTGTAACTCGCCTTGCTTGTCTAGTGGCCTTCTTCGTTGATCTTTGCGGACTACTCTTAAGTGCATCCAGATGATTGGTACGCTTCAGAAATTGTCCAATTTTTCTGTGATAACGATAAAAATAAATTTGGTTCGGATGAATGGAATATCCAAACACAACTAAAAGGATGATATAAGACAAGAAGAAAATTGGAAAAACTTGCCTTAATTGATACATCAGATCGCAAAACTTGATCTCAAAATTCCAAGCGAAAAAGAAAACAAGGACAAGGGTTTTCAAAGGTTTTGCACAAGTCCAAGAAAGTGAAAGATTTCTCTCGAAGGTCAGAAAGAAATAAAAGAACGAAAACTTGTCAAAGTTTACAATGGAACGCAAGTTCAGGAATATAAGCAATTATAAGGTTCACAATGCACATGCTTTAGGCTCGACTACCCTCCTTAAAAGATCCTTCATAATCCTTTTAGGTATAACACCTTCCTCGTGTTAATCGATGACTCCCGATCGGGGAAAACTATTTCCGATGCGATATACTATTCAATCACAACAAGATAAATGACCGTCGCTGGCCTCCAGGTCAAGATACTATAGGGCTTGCGCTGACCTTTGCGTTATTAAGTGCAGAGACTCGAAGTTATCGCAAACTAAAATCACAAACCTTGCAACAAATAATGTTTAGCAGAAAACAAATATGCTTATTCTTATTCGTACACAAAGTCTCTAATCAAAGTTAGTTCTAAGTATCAAATACAATAATTGCACAACTATTTAAAAGATAAACATGGAAAACGGAAGATAAATAGACAATACACGATCTCGATTTCTCGATCAGTCGTCCACTGTATACAAATCACGACAGCTCCATGGAAAGTATTCCTCGGTGATGATTCTCCTTCATTCGCACTTGAAATGAAAAAGCACAGTCTCCTTGAGCTTTACAGTGTCACTCTGTCAGAACAGTCAGTCATCGCTACTCATGTTCATCACTCGAACAATAAAAGGTAGCCATTGCTTTCCTCGAGATTTTGCCATACTCGAGAGTCGCGCTAGTGATACTCCATCGATCAACAGAAATCTTCGACATCGGTTGACAACTCGATCAAAGCTTTTAATCTCAATCATCGCACTCCGATGATCGGATTCCACCACTGCTCCTTCGGTCCACTTGTCAGTTGACCCTAGACGTTCGAGTGATCCCGCACATTCGGAACTTCCCGATTGTCTAATCTCAATGAGGCATCCTGATGTTGGTCACCAGAAAGCTATGGTATATAAACGTAATTCTCATCTATCCACGAGAAAGCTCGCATAAGGTGCTAACTCGAAACTTGTAACAAGAAAAATTACTAGAGACTTCACCAAACACTAGAATTCGAAACATAACAAGGTGGATAGTCTTAAGCCCCAAATAAGATAATTGAAAACAACAAACTCATACCTCGAGTTAGCGCGGCGAGACAGAAGCGAGTGGTCAATGGTCATTAACAATACCAACACTAGAGATAGTCTACAGAAACGCAGACTACCTCTGATACCATACTGTATCGCCCCGTTCTATTTTTAAGAGTTTACCGAATTTATTTTATAAATATCAGAGTAAATTTTTCGCAAAATACCAATTTGAAAACTTTAAACATTAACGGGCGCTACTTAACTACTAACAAAATAGACAAGTAAGTACAACCACAAGGAACTTACACATGCCAAAGCGATCATAAATAATCAAACCAAGTTATTATAAGTTCCAAAACTCAACCAAGAGATTCGACATGATCCATTGATCCAATCAACATGTTCAAAATAGCTTAAACGGAAGCATCATAATCCAAACATTATAAATCAACATTAGTAAATAAAGCGGAAGCAAAGACATGACAATCCAATAACCACCACTTGCTCGTCTCTCACTGCCGCCGCCAACCTTGCTCAACCTAAAGATAAGAAGAGGAAACAAGAGGACAAAACAACAATGGAGGTGAGCAAAACCACTATGCTCACCAATATCAGATAAGTCTATCTCGCATAAAGATCCAACACCATAAATAGAGTATGCATAGAATCCAGGTCTATCTCCATATATCGCTCTATTGCAAATCTCCTATGTACATACAACAACCTTCCTATCAGACATCGACAAGGAAGTAATCGGAAACCTTCCCTCCCTAGCTTGACATAGGCAAAGAAATCCTTTCCAGGAGACAGTGGAGCTCTTTTCCCCCTCCCGACTAGGCAAACGGTTCAGGGCGTCGCCTCTCGACTAGGCAAACGGTTCAGCGACCTCTCACTGTTAATACATTCGTCAAAGGAACTAAAGGCGAGACACCCCTGGCAGTGTAACACACTAGACTAGGGTTCTCAGTCATACTAAAGTCATCGAAACGAACATTTATACGAAATAACGATATGCGATAATTATAGATACACAAATTGTACCCACCTGGATGACGAGGTAGACAAAATACACAAATAGCAGAAATGTAGGTCGAGGGTTCGACTCCTCAAGAACCTAACATTAAGCGAGATAACTCCCATCAAAATTACCTCACTACTCCAAGTAGATATGACACACAAAGCAGATAGTTAAGGCAGATAAAGGAAAATGAGACAAATAAGCATAACAAGAACAAACAACCCTATATACTGATCTGGATGACTTTAACAACAATTTCAAAGGCCCAAAAAATCACCAATCTCATGCAAATAAACACATAAAAATTATTCTCAACTATCACGAATTAAACTCAAATTGTCCTGTCAGATTAATCACCATTAAGTCCTCCAATAATCGATATTAAAACAAGGCATGAATGTTGAGTACTAGTTGAATGGAACTATGATCTGGATTCATCACCAGAGAAAAGGACCGAGATGCGCCGATGCCATGCTGAGTACCAGTTGCGTCTCCTTATGGAGGAGGACATCTGGAAGTAGAAGGCTGCTGTGCGCTGGGTGGCTGAGGGGGAACGTAATACCAAGTTCTTCCAGGGGTTTGTGAGGCAGAAGTGGGTCAAGTCGTATATCCATAGTATCGAGGATAATGGGTCATCTATGACCCAGGAGTCCCAGATACGGGAGTCGGCTAAGGCTTACTTCTACTCCCTCTTTTCATCTGAGCGCGACATGCTTACGCACCCCAACCCTGCCCTGTTTCTGACCATTCCGCAGTCGGTCGATCTTATCGGCCTCTACGACCTCCTGAGTGAGGAGAAGGTCAGGAAGGCTATGTTTGGGATTGATCCAAACAGTGTCTCCGGATCGGATGGCTTTTCGTCCCTTTTCTTCCAGTCATGCTGGGAGATTGTGGGAACTGACGTAGAGGAAGCTATTAGGAACTTTTTATCTGGTCACCAGATGCCAGAGTCCTTCACAGCAACCTCCATCATTTTGATCCCTATGTGACCTGGAATGAGTTCCTGGTCTGACTATAGACCTATCAGTTTATGAAATGTGACTAACAAGCTCATCTCTAGGATCCTCAACGAGCGTCTCGCCCCTCTCCTCCCCTCCTTGGTCTCTCCGAATCAGATTGGATTCATCAAAGATCGAGTCATCAGTGATAATATCCTTTTGGCTCAGGAGATGATCCATGATATCTCCCATGCTAATCGAACACGAACCCCGAACCTCGTGCTGTAGCTAGACATGGCCAAAGCATATGATAGGGTCGAGTGGTCGTTTCTCAGGGAGGTTTTGTTTTTGATGGGATTCCCCAACCACTGGATTAGCTTTGTTGAGGCGTTGTGGAGCACTGCACGTTCTCTGTTTTGATTAATGGCAGCCCCACGACCTTCTTTCCATCTACCCGTGCCCTGCGACAGGGGGACCCCTTATCCATCCTTTTGTTCTAGTGGCTGACTATCTCTCTCGCTGCCTTGACGGCTTCATCCGCAATTTCCCGAGGATGACCTACAGCACGCATGGCTGTGGGCCTCCCATATCCCACCTTTCTTACGTGGATGACATTATCATTTTCACTCGTGCGAATGATAATGGGCTAGTTGATCTCATGAGACTTTTGGACTACTATAGTGAGACCTTTGGCCAGCTAGTCAGTGTTAGTAAGACACACTTTTATCATGGATCACCACATCGTAGATCGGTGGACTCACTGGATCCACGAGCGCACTGGTCTTGCTCGTGGAGACTTACCCATACCTTAAAACACCGAATCCCCGCAGGCCACGGAGTGTGGACGTCTACGGTTCAAAC